AACCCCCCCCCCGCCCAAAAAAAAAAAAAAAAAGAAGTACACATCTCGAACAGAGCCATTAGATGATTTCTGAAATTACTGAGTACTTAATGAATCAATCAATTTAAAAGGCCCAACACACTGAGACAATCCTATGATGTTTCTTGAGTTTGCGTCTCGTGTATATAGTCATTAATGGCGCTGAATTAGTGACGGCAGAGCGAGATCCGCTTATTGGCTCTGGAGACGACGTTCAGATGTCAGCAGTCGCACCTCACCTCGCAAAACTTCGTTCTCGTCTCGAAGTTCACCATACGTGGGTGTGTTTTGAGCTCCTGTTTTAAAGAAAGATATAATATTAACTGAAAAATAATAATAGGTATATCCGAAACAATTCTGGTGCAGTTTTTAGTGATAACGTGTTCATAGTGTACTGATTAACATGTAGGCCTATATATATATGTAAACCGAGATGAAAATACCGTAATTGCCACCAATGTCATTAATCATCCACACGAAAATAAGAACTAACAAACTGAAGACTTGTAAATCTATTATATATACAATGTAAAATGTAAGGAAATTATATCTACAAGTCAGAGCATCAAATACCTTTAATGGCTTGTGAAAGCTTTGGGATCAATTCTTCGTCATCAAAAAGAATGAATTTCAAGCCTTTTATCTCGGCAGGAATTTCCTCAGGTGAAATGTTCATTACCACAGGAATGAGGACATCTCTTTTCGCATTGAGGGCTTCTTGCATGGCATATTGCAGCTCTTGTTGACACCATCGACTTTGGACAAAACTCTTGGACAGGAACGCAACGGTATGTTTGGATGCAATGATCGCTTCACTTATGGAAGTTATCACTTGTGTTCCAGGAATGAGGTCTTCTTTGGCATACCAAAGCTTAACCCCCAGTTCTTTTAGCTGGTGTAGAACTGGTTCTATCGTTTCTTCATCCTCGCCGCTGTACGCAATGAACGCGTCGTAGCAGTATTGATCCAAAGGCAACCTGGAAATATAAAGTGAGTCGTTGCTGTGATAGAAATACACTCGTGTATATACACACACCTTTGTTACAATATGTATATGCACAATAAGCAAGGGCACAGGCTGGTTATGCTGTTTATGCAACCAAAATTGTAGAAAATGTTTGTGGTTAACAAAGCAGTAAATGTAAATACTTAAATATCTGAGCTTTAGGTGAATAGCCTGACTAATTCTATTGCTAGCTCTAACATTCAAAACTCCACTCACCTAACATCTTGTTGGTTAGTGGTTGTTGAACGCGACGTGTGCATGTGCCTCGCAGTGACCAAAGTTCTACATCGTTCTTCAAATTCATCTGGGGTCATGTTTAAAATTTCCGTCACCACCCCAGCATAACAGTCCCCTGCTGCATCTGTATGGGAGAATAATTTAAAGTAGATATCATAAGATGTGGATATAGATGCGATAGGCCTACACATGTAGGTTGTGCACAATCAATTAGATGCTTTATAATATTTAATAACGACACCCTATTCAATATTTTTGGAAATAATAAAAGCAAATGTTTACATCTTTGATGCAGTAACATGCCCGTTCGTAGGCAGACATTTAAGACTCACGTTCACTGTCACTTTAAAAAAATAAATAAATCTTGACGTAAATATTCCGTCAGTCTCCACGGTAAGCCTACCATCTACAATACGTGTACACGTACATACAAATAAGAATAAATGATAAATCATACAATGTATTAGTATATACACTTCTAATCTTACAGTACAATTACCGACAGTTGTTTCAACGATATTATGAAATATAATGTACTTTTATGCATATCAAAATAATAAGTAAACATTGCTTTTACTTACTGGCAAGTCGGGGAAAGTTTGCAGCCTGTAGCCCGACCTTTAAGTCTCTAATATTTGTACAATTGTTCTTGATGGCCCAGCCTTTCAGTCCCTGCACTTTTTGGAATTGTAAGACGTCAGGGAAGTTTGTACTCAGGTTGGTCTGGTTAATAATGGTGTATTCATCAGAATCTAATAGTTCAGCAAGGTGCTCCAAAGTCCTGGTCTGTACATATCCCTGTAAATATGGCATCAATTAAGTTATTTTACAGGAACTGGTATATTTGATGAATCAGTTATTAAAATATCGCCCATGAACTCAGGACTCGCGCAGTTATAATCCAGGACACTTGACCTCTACACATCTGCCTTCCTATTGAATCTTAATTGGTCATATAATTTAACAGTATTGGGCCATACTTGATCATGTAATTTAATATCTAAAATAATTTTCAAATGAATACATCTGATTAATGGTACTCCCGAGGCAATGTTTAAAAAATACACATAAATATGGTAAAGAATAAACGGCTTTGAAACAATTACTCGAATTTATGTATTTTTCAACTACATGGAAACTCTATGTATCATAATCCAATGCTATTCAAGGGCTAAAGTTTGACCACGTTCACACTGCTACATGTATACCTGTATATCTGGTAGTTCAAAACGACTCAACAGTTCTGCTACGGCAGCGTGTTCTTCGTCCTCTGCCACCATTCTTGGTATTTTTCTCCACTGTAATAGCAAATCTTTTGTTACTTACTGTATGAGGAGGAAAATGTAGCCTTTAAGTGCATTCTAGTGAAATGGTGCTTTCCCGTAATACGGTCTTAATATGATTTCTTAAAAAGACATAGCCATATTCCTGTGCTTGGGCTCTTCAACACTCACCTTATCCTGTATACTGGTATCCGCCCCGTGTTGGAGGAGAAGCTGAACACACTGTACACTGGTATCGGCTCCGTGTTTGAGGAGAAGCTGGACACAATGTGTGTGGCCGTGCCTGGCAGCCCAGTGAAGTGGTGTCTGCCCATTCTGAAAATATGGACAAACAATGTGAGCAAACAGATAATCCATGTTACAGAATCAAATTTATTTCCACTGGGTGTTTAAACAAATCATTTATAAACTAAAATCGAATAGAAAAAAATCTCATTGTGGTCTGTAAACGATATAAACGATGTGATTCGATACATATTTTAAGATGTTTACTTGTTACTTATGAGAAAGATCGCTATGCAGAATATGTAAACCATGTACAATAACTTCTAATAAACTTCGAGAAATATATGTAGTTATATGCAAGTGTACCGATATTGTTATGCTTAGAATATTCTACACTCACCTTAGCCTGTATACTGGTATCAGCCCCGTGTTGGAGGAGAAGCTGGACACATTGTGTGTTGCCCAACAAGGCAGCCCAGTGAAGTGGTGTGCACCCATTCTGAAAATATGGACCAACAATGAGAGTAAACAGATAATCCATGCCGTAGAATCATGTTTATTTCCACTGGGTGTTTAAAGTAATCAGCTATAAACAAAAAATTGGTAAGCAAAGATTCTCACTGTGTTTGTACAGGGTATGAACAATAAGATTCGATACATGCTTTAAGATAATTAGTTATAACTTGAAAGATCGCTAAGCAAAATATGTAAACCTTGAACAATAACTTCTAATAAACTTCGAGAAATATATGTAGTTATACGCAAGTGCACCGATATTGTTATGCTTAGAATATTCTGCACTCACCTCAGCCTGTATATTGGTATCAGCCCCGTGTTCGAGGAGAAGCTGGACACATTGTGTTTGGCCACAGATGGCAGCCCAGTGAAGTGGTGTCGACCCATCCTGAGAATATGGACAAACAATGTGAGTAAACAGATAATCCGTGTTGCAGAATCATGTTTATTTCCACTGGGTGTTCAAAGTAATCAGCTATTAACAAAAAAAAAAAAAAATGGTAAGCAAAGATTCTCACTGTGATTTGTACAGGGTATAAACAATAAGATTCGATACATGCTTTAAGATCATAAGTTATAACTTAAAACAAAGATCGCTAAGCAGGATATGTAAACCTGGCACAATAACTTCTAATGTACATCGGAAAAGACATGTAGTTATACGCAAGAGTAGCAATATTGCTATGCTAAGAATATTCTACACTCACCTCATCCTGTATACTGGTATCCGTCCCGTGTTGGAGGAGAAGCTGGACACATTGTGTGTGGCCCTGGTTGGCAGCGCAGTGAAATGGTGTCTGGTCATGCTGAGAATATGGACAAACAATGTGAGTAAACAGATAATCCATGTTGCAGAATCAAATTTATTTCCACTGGATGTTTAAAGCAATCAGTAATAAACTAAAATCGATGAACAAAAAAAAAAAAAAACATCAATGTGATATGTAAAGGATATAAGCGATGTGATTCGATACATATTTTAAGATGATTACTTATAATTTAAGGGAAAGATCGCTAAGCAGAATATGTAAACCTTGTACAATAACTTCTAATAAACTTTGAGAAATATATGTAGTAATACGCAAGTGTACCGATATTGTTATGCTTAGAATATTCTACACTCACCTCATCCTGTATACTGGTATCTGCCCCGTGTTGGAGGAGAAGCTGGACACATTGTGTGTGGCCGCCCCTGGCAGCCCAGTGAAGTGGTGTCCACCCATTCTGAGAATATGGACAAATATTGTGAGTAAACAGGTAATTTATGTTGCAGAAACATGCTTATTTTCATGCAGGGTTTAAAATTATCAGTAATTAACAAAAATCGGTCAGCAGAAATTCGCACTATCATATGATATGTAGGCTATAAACAATGTCGTGTCGAAAAACATGTTTGGGACAATAGTCTTTAAGAATAAGGCTTTAAGAAAAGAATTAACAGTAACAAGAAGGAAGAGGAGCAGTAAGGAGTGAGGCAGTTACTTAGAGAATGCCCACGGAATTTGTAATGGGTCGTTTCTGCAATAGTGTAAATACTTCAGTTTGTATCCTTACTGTAATAATAAATAGCTAAACGATATCGTGACTAGTGACAGAGTAATTAACGTTGTTACCCTGTCCTGGACATTGATGTTGCACTCCCCGGCAGTCAGCAGTCCCTGTAAACTCTGTATAGCTCCACCCCTTGCAGCCCAGAGAAGCCTGCTGTCAGCCATACTGGCTAGCTGCTATACCGTGGATATTCTTGCGAAGAGCAATGAACAATATCTCTGAAATANCCCCCCCCCCCCCCGAAAACTTTCAGACGCCCATGGTTTCAATCACAACAATAATACACGGTAGGTAGATTATATGAGTAGAAATATAGGAACGTCGTCTCGTACATGAATATAATAATACATATTTACAAAAGTAGGCCTAGCTACTATTGATTTGCGTTGCCATAGAGTTTTTACTGCGGCCTCTATGATATGCCTTCCCTCTTTGGGGTGGGGGTATTGTGACCGTATCTTTACCTTCTTCCTTCATATACTGATTCACTCTTAACGCAACTATAAAATCTAATGGCTTTTAATATCTCAATTTTCATAACAACATATTCACCTGCAAACAGAAAGTAACATCAAATTTCCGGGATCGATTACTAAGGGCAATCACTTCCAAGCTTTATGGTGTCTTGCGATGAATTGTTACCCAGATGTTAACAACACACTGATATCCCAGTATACCTACTTGAATGTCTCTCGTTTACATTGATGTGCTTGACAAGTTACCTCAGAAATTCGAAAATTTTCAGTAACTTACCGATTTTACAAGCTTCGTGCAAATGGTGACTCTCTATTATTAGAAATGTCGAGGGGAATCCCCCCTTATTGCTATCGACTTCATTTTATCAACGAAGGCAAACATCTAGTTCAAGGACGTTTGTTGTCCAATGGAGCATGCATCTATAGTGTTAATAAGCTTGATATGTTTATGTGTTATTTATTACACATATGTCAGGGTGTCTCCCCCCCCCCCCCATCCACACTCAGCTTGCAAGGTACCCCCTTCTACTCCTTTTCAGATAATACATCGATCAAAATTTAGCAAACCCAAAAAATCCATAACCCTTGGTCTGTTCGTGTGTGTGTGTGTGTGTGTGTGTGTGTGTGTCACAGTGTGTCGCTCATTATCTAGTCTACAAAAAATTAGTACCAAAGTTTATAAATACAAGGTCGTTCTTCTTTAAAAGGTTATTTCGAACACATTTTAGATGTGACTTATATACCCTACATATCCCAACTCAGTATTACGTAGCCTACTATTCCAATATTTTTACAAACGATTTTACTTGTGTTTCCAACCTGATTAGGCCTACATTCACATACATATTCATGTAGGCTACTTGTGCAAACAAGAATTACATATGTCATGTCACATAATTATTCCAAATCTTTATGATGTCGTAAGCAGGGCAGATTGTATTGCCCCATAGTTAAAAGCACACTGATGTCCCAAGTACAACTATTAGTAGTATGTCTCTTGGTCTCAGTGATGTGGTTGTCCCTTTTCCTCAGAATTTCCTACTGCTAATGACCGGTGCCGCACAATATTATTATTATTATTATTATTATTATTATTGTGAACGTTTCTGTAACTTCTTCGTTCATACCCTGTTTTATTCTAAATTTTAATAACAACATATTTACCTGCAAACAGAAAGTAACGCCAAATTTCCCAGATCGATTACTAAGGGCAAACACTTCCAATCTTTATGATGCCTTGCCACGAATTTGTTACCCAGATGTTAACAACACACTGAAATCCCAAGTATACCTACTTGAATGTCTGTCGTTCACATTGTTGATGTGGTTGACATGCTACTGTAGAAATCCGAAAATTTTCAGTAACTTGCCGATTTTACTAGCCTCTTGCAAATGGCGACACTCTATTATTAGAAATGTCGAGGGGAATTCCCCCTTATTGCTATCTATTTGCAACTAAGGCAAATATCTATTTTTAGGAAGTTTATTGTCCAATGGAGCATGTATCTATAGTGTTACTAAGCTTGATATGTTTAGGTGCTATTTATTACACATATGTCAGGGTTGTGAGCCTATGACAAATTGAACATATTGATAACGTATTACAGTGGCGAATCATAGGACACAGTGGGTCTCCCCCCCCCCCCCCACACACACACACACACTCACACACACTCACACACTCAGCTTGCAAGGTACCCCCTTCTACTCCTTTTCATATAATAATACACTGAACAAAAGTGGGCAAAGCCAAAGAAATCCCTTACCCTTAGTCTGTTCATGTGTGTGTGTGTGTGTGTGTAAACTTGTGAGTGTGTCGAACATGATCAAGTATAGGCCTACAAAAATTAGTCCCAAAGCTAATAAATACAAGGTCGTTCTTCTTTAAAAGGTTATTTCGAACATCTTTTAAATGTGATTTATACAGACTTGACATTTAATATGGAATATTTCAGTTTTAAAGGTATACCTAGGTAAAAATGCTTTCTTTTTTCAAAAAACTCAGATCTCACATAAGATATCTGACTGGAGAAGTATGAAGTCAGGTGTGTCGCTACCAATTAACTGACTACCAAGTCTGTTGCACTGCTGCATTGTGTAATATGCAGTGATTTAATTGGCTGGTGCTCCTTTGGGCTGGTCAAAGCTTGGCTTTGATGAAGCATGGTTCTGTCAAAAAAGTATCCATGTGTCGGCAACTACTGTATCGAAGAATTTGAAATTCTGCATGCAAACGGTCTGTTTTGCAGTGCGTAAAATGAATTAAGCAGTGTTTTTTAAAATTGTTAAGCTGTGCCAGAATGGCGCGAAAAAGACAGACATTGCCAGACAGATTATTGTGTCAAACGGATTGGTCTGCACAGTTTTATAGGGTTATGCCCAGACTGATGCACCTACACAGAGACCACGCCCAATGTATCGACATCTTACCACCAGGTTACAGGACTCGCTGTCCTTCAGGATATGCTGCTGCAATTAAACCAAAACCACCCAGTCCGTTTTGAATGAGGGGCAAATTGTCACCAAAACGCGTTTTTCAAGGCTCTTAGCGAACAACAAAATGGTTTCAGCAGGTTAAGATATCAGGCGACCTCTGAGGAAGCCACTGTAAACAGCTAAACAGCGTAGTCTGTTTCTCTAATGAATTGGGGACCCTGACCGTTTCTGGGTAGAACACTGATATCGCGTGGCTTTCTTTATTGAAGTCAGATTTCACCCGTACCGCTAAAATGGTCAAAACAGAGTTTACAGACATCCTGAAGAGGCCTACGACAAGACGTGTGTCACTATTTAAGTGACTAGGGTCATTGGAAGCATCACTATTTGGAGTGGATACCACATTGGTGCCCAAACACTAATGGAAGTCATCGATGAAAACCTGAACCAGATCAAATAGAGGAATACTCTGGGAACCACTTGACCATCATTTGATAGGGGGCATCTTAGGAACAATTTTAGGTTGCACGATGAGATTGCCGGTTCACACAGAGAACTTTTAATAGCAGATAACTTACAGAACCAAGGGAATGAGCAGCTACCTTGGTCATCAAAATTGCCATATTTGAACCACATAGACAATATGTGGGTAGGTCTTTACTCGCTGTATCAACAGCCNTTTAGCCCGACCTTTAAGTCTCTAATGTTTGTACAATTGTTCTTGTTGGCCCAGTCTTTCAGTTCCTGCACCTTTTGGAATTGAAAGACGTCAGGAAAGTTTGTGCTCAGGTTGGTCTGGTTAATGATGGTATATTCAGCAGGATCTAATATTTCAGCAAGGCGCTCCAAAGTCCTGGTCTGTACATACCCCTGTAAATATGGCATCAATTAAATTATTTTACAGGAACTGGAATATTTGATGAAACAGTTATTAAAATATCGTCCAAGAGCTCAGGACGTGTGCAGTTATAATCCAGGACACTTGACCTCTACAAATCTGCCTTCCTATTGAATCTTAATTGATCATATAATTTAATAATATTGAATCATAACTGATATATAATTTGATATCTAAAAATACACATAAATGTGGTAAAGAATAAACTATTTTGAAACAATTACTCGAATTTATGTATTTTTTAACTGCTGATCGAAACTCTATGTATTATAATCCCATGCTATTTAAGGACTAAAGGTTGACCTCGTTCACACTGCTACACCTATACATGTATACCTGTATATCTGGTATTTCAAATCGCCTCAACAGCTCTACTACGGCAGCGTGTTCTTTGTCTTTTACCAACATTCTTGGTGTCTTTCTCTCCTGTAATATCAAATCTTATGTTTCTTACTGGATGGGAAGGTAAATGTGACTTTAAGTACAGTCTAGTGAAATGGTGCTTTCCCATAATACGGTCTTAATGTGATTTCTTTAAAATGTGTAGCCATATTCCCGTGCTTGGACTCTTTAACACTTACCTGATGCTGTATACTGGCATCCGCCCCGTGTTGGAGGAGAAGCTGGACACATTGTGTGTCGCCGCACTCGGCAGCGCAGTGAAGTGGTGTCCACCCATTCTGAGAATATGGACAAATAATGTGAGTAAACAGATAATCCATGTTGCAGAAACGTGCTTAGATTTCAGTCGGGGTTTAAAATTATCAGTTACAAACAAAAATCATTAAGCACAAATTATCAATGTGATATGTGCAGGGTATAAACAATGTGAATCGATACATGATTTAAGATCATTGGTTATAACTTGAAAGATCGCTAAGCAGGATATGTAAACCTGGCACAATAACTTCTGATGTACATCGGAAAGACATGTAGTTATACGCAAGTGTAGCGATATTGCTATGCTTATAATATTCTACACTTACCTCATCCTGTATACTGGTATCTGTCCCGTGTTGGAGGAGAAGCTGGACACATTGCGTGTAGCCGTACTCGGCAGCCACGTGAAGTGGTGTCCACCCATTCTGAAAATATGGACCAACAATGAGAGTAAACAGATAATCCATGCCGTAGAATCATGTTTATTTCCACAGGGTGTTTAAAGTAGTCAGCTATAAACAAAAAATTGGTAAGCAAAGATTCTCACTGTGATTTGTACAGGGGATAAACAATAAGATTCGATACATGCTTTAAGATCATTAGTTATAACTTGAAAGATCGCTAAGCAGGATATGTAAACCTGGCACAATAACTTCTAATGTACATCGGAAAAGACATGTAGTTATACGCAAGAGTAGCAATATTGCTATGCTTAGACTATTCTACACTCACCTTAGACTGTATATTGGTATCTGCCCCGTGTTGGAGTAGAAGCTGGACACATTGCGTGTGGTCGTACCAGGCAGCCCCGTGAAGTGGTGTGCACCCATCCTGAGAATATGGACAAACGGTGTGAGTAAACAGGTAATTCATGAACTTCAGAAAAGACAATGCAGTTGTATGCAAGTGTAGCCAAATTGCTATGCTAAGAATATTCTACACTCACCTTATCCTGTATACTGGTATCAGCCCCGTTTTGGAGGAGAAGCTGGACAAATTGTATGTGGCCAATCCTGGCAGCCCAGTGAAGTAGTGTCTGCCCAATCTAAAAATATGGACAAACAGTGTGATTAAACAGGTAATTTATGTTGCAGAAACATGCTTATTTTCATGCGGGGTTTAAAATTATCAGTGATTAACAAAAATTGGTCAGCAGAAATTCACACTATCATGTATGATATGTATAAACAATGTCGTGTCGAAAAACATGTTTGGGACAATAGTCTTTAAGATTAAGGTTTTAAGAAAAGAATTAACAGTTACAAGAAGGAAGAGGAGCAGTAAGGAGTGAGGCAGTTACTTAGAGAATGCCCACGGAATTTGTAATGGGTCGTTTCTGCAATAGTGTAAATACTTCAGTTTGTATCCTTACTGTAATAATAAATAGCTAAACGATATCGTGACTAGTGACAGAGTAATTAACGTTGTTACCCAGTCCTGGACATTGATGTTGCACTCCCCGGCAGTCAGCAGTTCCTGTAAACTCCGTATAGCTCCACCCCATACAGCCCAGAGAAGCCTGCTGTCAGCCATACTGGCTAGCTGCTATACCGTGGATATTCTTGCGAAAAGCAATGAACGATATCTCTGAAATAAGACGCATTGATCACTACAAGATATTGATAAAATCTGTTTTACCATGTCATCTGTCCTAAAATGAACAGACTAAGGGCATACATATATCAGAAACAAGGACAGTAGTATGGAGGACATGAAACGCATATTTTTTTGTTAACTGGATCCGAATGTGACTACAATGTTGGATCCAGGGGCGGGCACAGAGGACACGTATATTCCCCCTTAGTTATCCCCTGAGGTACATGTTCCCCTTAGCCCCTTCTCACTCTCCAAACCTCAGTATGACGGACAAAACAAGTCAAAACAGTGATGTTATCCTGATAGTAAAACTGTCAAAGTAAAACTATCTGAAGCCTGAGTAATTTTCTATCCTTGTGCTCCCCTCTCTCCCCCTCTGCCGACAATTCTTTGGTCCGACAAAAGAATTCTGTTCGTGGGACACTTCACAAATATTTTAAAATATTAAACTGAAAAGATAAGGTATCAAAGGTATCTAAAAGTGTTTAAAAGCCAAATAGGTGGTGTATAGGTGGTGTATAGGTGTGAGTGTGTGTGCGTGTGTTTGTACGTAGCCGATACGTGTGTGTTTGCAATTAAAAATGAGTTAACTATGTGCGGACACTGGTATATGTTCCTCTGTCAAAGTTTTCCGTGAATAGATATTCTTCATATAGCCTAGGTTTCAATCATGGGCGTCCGTAAGGGGGGGGGGGAGGGTCAATGGGGTCACT